GGGGGCTCACCCACTGCTTTCCTCCTCAGGCCCATGTCTGAGTCCCCAAATATGTTTGACTCTCCTCAGAGTCCACAGGACTCCCTCTGACCAGGAAGGTTATTTGAACAGCTCTAGCAGCAGCCACAGTGGCTCGGATTTGCCTATCCTGGACACCTCAATATGTCTTCCCATCTTCAGCAGGCTGTCCATCTCTGCTGAATAATCTGGTATTGCCTTTTGGTCTCTTCCTACATGCATTACAATGTTAAGCTTGTAGCCCCCTTCCTCTCCTAAATCTCTCTTAGCATCTTTGGGTTTGATGTTAACTCCAAGATTGTGCACCTGCCTAGAGTCCAGACACTGGCTGAAATCGAAAGTGCCAAATTAAAAAAAAAAGCTATAATTGTTTACAAACATAGTGTCTTTTAATATATTCACTGTGACTATATTACCTCTCCAGCTGCAGAGGGCATCAGCAGCCTCTATAGAGCTCTGCATTTCCAGATGTGCAGGAATATCCAGAACTGAATTCCTGTCATGAGCAGCAATTCAGATGCAGAAAACTCTTCCCCTTCTTTGCCTTCCCCTCCTTTGCCTGTGTTTAGTAGACATACGGGAGGTGGACATCTGTTAACATCCAACCCTCTCCACCTTTTATAAAGGCTAGTTGCCTAAATCAACTCAGATCAGCCAGAAGAACAGCTGAGACTGGACAGTTCACTCTAACATGCGTGGGACTTAGTAAATGGAGAGTTAAGCCAGATGGACAGTGAACAACTTGCTTTTGCTGCTGCAGGCTCTCTGCATGTACATGTGACATCTTCGCAAAAAGTGGGGAGGGGAGGGGTTCCTAATGGTGTTCATTCCACATACACATGTTCAGTGCAAACAAAGTTCCAATACTCATAGCTTTAATGGTTTTGCTCTAGAGTACAACAGATCTTTCCATGAAGCACTCACACCACTCTTCATTTTTCCCCCCTGGGTTTTTAATTCTTTATAACTTCAGAAATTGGAGAGCAAATTTTGCTTGTCACTGCACAACAATATATAGCTTATTTAACTTATTTATTGCTGAAACTTCTGCTTTCTTGTTAATTTTGTTCATATTTATCTGGATGATGAATTCATAAAATATATTCTTTTATGTTCAAATTATTTCTGCTTTCTTGTTAATTTTGTTCATATTTATCTGGATGATGAATTCATAAAATATATTCTTTTATGTTCAAATTATAAAGATTTTACAAATTCTTAGAATAACAGAGTCCAGAGTCACCCACAAAGATTTTACAAATTCTTAGAATAACAGAGTCCAGAGTCACCCACTATACAATATATAGCTTATTTAACTTATTTATTGCTGAAACTTCTGCTTTCTTGTTAATTTTGTTCATATTTATCTGGATGATGAATTCATAAAATATATTCTTTTATGTTCAAATTATGATATTCCATATTAACCTTAAGATTGAGAAGTTCCCCCCCCCAGTTTAATATATTATACTACAATGACATTTTTTTTGTAACTTTACACTTTTTTTGGTTATTTTATTTTTAAAAAATGAAAATTAAAAAAAAAAAGATTTTACAAATTCTTAGAATAACAGAGTCCAGAGTCACCCACTATTAGTGACAAAGAATATTAGCCTGGAACATGGGAAGAGATTTGAACCCATGTTCCTATATCCATATTTAACAACTGTTGATAGGATTGGTCTTGCTGTACATGCTCGCTATATTGTTACAGCTGGGGGTCAAGAAGCACTCCAAGGCTTCTGACCTGCTCTTTCTGGAAAAGTGCAAGCCCATCTGAAACAGCCTCCACCTTGATCCACAAAATCAGCTTCCTCCTTTCCAAGATCACGTCTATCTGGTTGGATTTATTTAATTCAAGCTTGTTCTCCCTCATCCACCCTGTCATCATCTTTAAGCAATACTCAAGAGTGTTAATTGCTTCCTTGGAATATGATGGTTTCAAATACAACCAAGAAATCTAGAACTACCATGGTTGTAATCTCTCATCTAATTTCTAGTACAGGTTATTCACCAATGAAACCAAAGCAGAGTCAACCGTGTATCTCAAGCAAAAATGCTGACTGAAATGGGTCTAGATAACCAGTTTCATTGAAATGCATCTGGAGCTGTGAGGCTACCACCTTCTTAGTCACCTTAACCAGGAACGGAAGATTACAGACTAATGTATGATTACAAAAATCTTCTAGGTTCGGGAAGGTGGGATTTTCAGTTATAGTTATACAACTTTCTGCTTTAAGCAAATGGAAAGACATTCCTCCTTCAAGAAGATATTAACTACAGTACCTTTTAAAACCATGAGGCCAATTTAATCAGTCAGGAGATACATAGGGCAAGCCAACAAATGATGTCTTTCACCTCCTCACATATTAGTTCACATCCTTGAAATATACCTGCTGAAAAGAATCCATATCAACAGGGATACTTCCCTATGATCTGGAACCCAAGTCAAGATTAATCCAATTAATTACAGTTATTCTGTTGGTTGGGGATGATTGGAGATCTAATACATCACAGAGAGATGGCACCAGTTTGGAAAAAACTGATAGTCACCAAAGATGGGAAAACAATACCTGTGTGCCAGTCCTAAACACATAGCTGCCATCTCCCGGGATGGAAGGCCACTGATAAGTCCTTCTATTTGAGAGCGAATGCCTCTCATCAGCTCAGTAACCATTGGACTATGGATGCAACTTAAATTCAGCTTGTCCTGCAAAAATTCAAATTGTATCATTTAGATCAAAAGGCGTACAATATGGTCAAAGCTGCAAATATTTACAATTCAGTATACAACAAACAAATGTAAGCTCTCCAAGACTAACGCACTACCTAGCTTAATATTTTTGTACACTCCATACTTCTCCATACTTCTTCCCCAACAGTTAGCCATTTTTGCCCACCAGATTATTTTCAATGAACTCCATCTACCTAGCGGGTAAGACCAATGGCAAAAGAGTTATAAATGGTAATCCAGAGGATATTACGTTGCTCTCTAGTGTTGCACTGTGTGTGCATCTACATATAAACACACATACTCATACATACATATGGCATAAGAACCAGCAGATTATAAGTTTCCAGAAAAAAAAGGCACTAACAATCAGTTCAAACAAGTAAGCACAAATCAGACAGACTTATTTAGGATCGAATATACAATTCCTGATCCCCCTCCATTTTTTTCTTTTCCACAATGTTTATTAAATTACAACCCTGCAGGTAAAGAGTGTTTTGATTTTTTAATTTAATTTATCTCTATATAGTACCTAGTAACATGTAAACACTTGGTAAACCATAACTAACAACAAGCTAATAGAGTCCCAGAGAATCATTCTTACAATTGTTAAGATTATAAGAGACTGCCTTTCCCATGAGATCCTGCAGAAGAGGCACATTACATCTGCCATCCATCAGAGTATCATCTGGTAGGAGCCAGGAAGCTAGTGTTCTTGTGGTACCTGCCCTCTGGAACATCATTCCCCTGAAGATTAAGATTGGCCCCAACCCTGCTGGCCTTTTGTAAGGCCTTGAAGACGTGGTTGTGTTCTGGGCTTGGGGATCGGAGTGTCAGTCAGAGCCAGTGAGATGGCTACATTAATCATAGTTTCATTGGTTTTTGCCCTGGTTGCTGGTTGCATTTTATTTTATTTTATTGCTGTTGGCTGTGAGTTTTTTAACTGCTATTAGCTGCCCAGAATAACTATGAATAATTCCCAGAATAATTCAAATGGCTCCCACCCTACTAGGATTTTGAAGGGCCTTTTTAGAAAAAGAGCCAGGTCTTTAAGGTCTTTGGAGAGGATGACTGATGCCCCTGTCTTCCTTTCTGTTCCCCTCTGGGTTTATTGTCTTTGCCACTGTTTTTCCTTTGACTTGTGCTGTTTTTGTGTTTTCTGTATTGTTCTTTTTTTAATGTTTTAGCAAATGTAAACTGCCCAGAGTCACTGGAAGTCGGGCAGCATATAAATTTAATACATCAAATTAATTGAATTAAATTATGGTGTGATAGGTGGCTAAATGCATTGAATAAAATAACTGAATTAATAATAAAATTACAGGCTTTTAGTATATGCTGTTATCAGAATACCACATATCCTTTTTAACGTAGATATTAGGACTTACCTTTATTACACCTCCTAATTTGGCATCTGCTACAGCTAGCTGTTCGTGGGCATCTTTGGCTACTATTTTCTTTAAGATTTTCTTTAAATTTTTGCCGATTTTGCCTTCCACCAGTGCTGTGGATGCTTAAGGAGAAAACAAAAAGCTGCAAAAAATCTAGAATTTTCTAAAAGACCCAGCCAGAAAAGATTAGCATGGAATAAAATATGTATCAAGCAGTAGCTACAGAACATGTAATTTTCTCTGTTGTCTCAGTGGTAGTGACGAAAAGTTGTATGCAATCACAGTGATTCAGTTCCACTAACAATACATCACTGACAACAGAAATTGGTTTGAAGCCTGCACTCTATTCAGTTCTAAGGCTATAATCTTTTACTAAAGGCTAGTCAATACTGTATAAATACCACTGTATCTAAATAATATAATGTATAACTGATGTCTTACAACAATATAATAAATAATTAAAATGATAAAATCACAATGAAATGTGTTAAATAATCATAATAAATCTTTTATTAAGGTCAAATGCAAGCAGAACGTAAGCCTAAATATTTATTCAGTCCGCCACTGTCTGGGTGGCTTGCAGACAGTTATGCTTATATTAGCATTTGGGCAACAGATCTATTCATTCAGTGAATACAGAAAGGAAGCAAACTAGCAAATGTATAGCTCTCTCCCCAGCTCCTGTCAAGCATTTTTAGAGACTTTGGTTTACCTAAAACAAAACAAATACACACACAGGGCCCCAATCAAGATCAATGCCACCATGCACAGAAGAAAAGACTTTCTCCCCCACAATCAGGCCCTTTGTTTTTAAATAGAATTCATCTTCCCCTGCTAGACAACAAAGGGTAAACTGGAACAATAGAGATAATACTATGAAAGTGAAGTTGCTCTTGAAATCCAGCTGTTTGGAGGTTGGAAAAGAAATAACCATTGTATGTCACCCAATCTGGGTTCAGATATCATGAGACACTATAGTTTAATTGGATTAACTTAACAAAAGTTCTATGGCATCAGATTGTGGGGGCACACCATCTTAACTACAATCTTGGCTATGATTTAGTTTTGGATGAAACCAAAGCATAATGACAAAAAGGCAAATAGGCTGTGGAAATACACTTAGTAACACCAACCTGACTATGCTATTCCCCCATGGAGCAACCTTATCCAACTTGATGCCCTCCAAATATGTACTGGCTTTGCTGGAGATGATGGAAATTATACTCCAAAATGTCTGGAGGAAAACAGGTTGGAGAAGGCTGCTTTAAAAGATAAGGTGAGAATGCTTTTGTTAATGATATGAAAATGGATTTTCTATCCTTACATACACTACATTTATTGATGCATGCACTAGTAAATGAGAAAATAGTTGAAGTACATGCGTACCTTTCAGAAATTTGCTTGCAAAGTTACACATATTCAAGGACATAGGTAAAGCTAGTACAAAGCAGGGCTCACTGCAAAACCTTTGCAACAGAGCTATTAAATAAGCTTAACAAGAAAGAAAGGAGGGAAGGGTATCAACTCTACTGTATACTGCACTGGTTAGATGTTATTTCTAAGCCCAACTTAAAGCAGTGAATTTAATTTTTAAAAACTTCATAAAACTTTCTCCTCACTCCTAATCACTGGCGCTGATAAGAATTGGAATTCAGCATCTCAGATGGCCAGCACTTCTTCTCCTGCCTTACATAGCTTGTGGTCAGGTTAACTGAAGGGCCACCAGCTTCAGGTAAATCCCCCTGTTTGTTCTGCAATATCATTTCTAGAAGTTCAGCTTATGCATCCCTGAAAACCTGCACTGGATATCTGGAATCTCTTTTAAAATGATGCTATCATTAAAAGTGATCAATAATTCTAATAGTAAAAGTATTACCTGCAAGAGCTTCTGTTGTGTCTTGAAACTTCTCAAAGTGTTTCAGTTTCACGCTAAATAAAGAACATCAAGTTTTTACAATAGTCATGAGGACCTGAGCAATTGCTACCAATTATAAAAATGCAGGAAACTGAGAAAATGATAGGCACACAATGCCTGGTTTTTTCAAAAGGCAAGAATTAATTAAAAACCCCAGCCCATCAGGTCAATGTCTCATATACAAAGAGAAAAATATGCTTAAAAAGCTTTTGGTTCACATGTCAATTACCCCTTAGGCAAGTTCTCCACCCATCTATCTATTCTATGAAAATAACTACAGGTAGTCCTCATTTAGCAAGTGCCTTGGACAGTGACTATTTGCAGTTACAACAGTGCTGAAAAAGTAACTTTGTGACCAATGGCCACATTTACGACCTTCACAGCATCTCTCTTAGTCACATGTTCGCCATTATAGCCAGTTAGTATGAGAAAAAAAAAATACGTATCGTCCAGTGTAAAATCATAAGCATGGTTGCGGTTATATGATTTTTCACTTAGTGACTGCTTCACTTAACAACCGAGCTGCTGGTCTCAACTGCAGTTGCTAAACGAGGACTACTGTACAGCCTACTTTATAGGATAATATGTAATGCACAAATATAAAAACATTCTTCATACACATATTCCATACAGACATGAATTATATATAATGTTATCTGTTTATAAGATAAGTTTAACTAATTCATTAATCAAGACTATTACTTCCTACTTATTCCTATTCAATCTGCATCATACAAAACCCGTTCCACTTCAGCAAGCCTTCTTGTGCAATTCTTGTGATACCTAAGCCTACCAGATCATGGCTACAAAAATCGGGGGACCACTACAGCAAAGAACTGGTGATCATTCAGATTTTTTCAGCTCAGATCTGATAGCCCTAATTACAATAGCAATGTAGGATTAAGGTTAGAGTAGACCTAACTCTTAGAAGGAAGTAGGTTCCACTCCAAAAAATCTAAGTGACTAACAACGTCAACATAATTATCGAGGGTTTTTTTTATTCCACTGCAATCCAACAATTTGCATATGCAATAAAACAAAATTAGAGAAATACAGAAAGACTAAAAAACACAATAATACAATGCCAAACAGAGAGGCATCATACTGCAAATTCCCACCAGAAAAGTTCAATCTTCACCATCTTCTGGAAAATGGCCAAGATATAATAATGACAATACAGGTAGTCCTTGATTTACGACCATCTGTTCAGTGACCATTCAAAGTTACGACAGTGCTGAAAAAATGTTATGGCCATTGCAGTACCCCCGCAGTCATGTGACCAACATTTGGGTGCTTGGCAGCCCACCCACACTTACAACTGCAGGGATGCTGCAACTCCTCCCTACCTGCCTATCTCCCCCTTGATCTATGCCCTTTTGGCTACCCTGCGCTTTAGGCAGCCAAAAGGTCATAGATGGGGGCATAGGTGGGTGGGGGGAGTTGCAGCGCCTCTGAGGTCGTAAGCACTGCTGGGCTGGGGTGGCTAAAGGTTCCAGGTGGAGCTGTGGCTTTGCGCTGCACTGCAGTACCCCAACTCGTGCACGGTCTGCTCCTGGCCTCCCACACACCCCTGCAGCACCCCCGCACTCTTTACCTTGGAATCCCTCCACTTAACAACTCGTGATTCTCGGTTAATGTGAGTACCAGGATTGCAGTCGCTAAGTGATGCAATAATGTGACATCTTGCTTTACAACTACATTGTTTAGCAATGGAAATTCCAGTCCCAATTGCCATAGAAAGACTACCTATATGTTTATTTAGTTGATTATATCCAATATTCAAGGATATAAAATAACAGCCCCCAGAAAACCCCAAATACATATAAAAATAAAAAGATCAAGATAAAAACCAATTTTATTATTAAAAAAAGCTATTGGCCATGCTCTTGAAATATTAGTTATTACTTCTTGAAGGAATTTACTTACATTTTATTAGCTTTTTCAGGTGTTTCAAACTCTTTCCACAAGTTATCAATTTCTTGAAGCTTCTTCTCATCCAGAACCTGTGGTAAAGAGAAAGACTAATGAAATATATGAAATATTTGGCAACAAGATATCTGTCTTATTTGTCACTAGGAGAAATTAAAAATGTGAAACTACACCCCAACCCTTGAGTACCTGTGTAAAAAACAAACAAAACAAAACAAAAAAAACCTAAGTCTGTTTCACGAACACTATATCCATGTACTCAACCCTTCCAATTTCAATTAGAAAAAAGTCCAGCTGGCAGTAGTAAAGCATTATACTTATATTTATTTAGCTGATTTATAGATGGTTATTCTATCAATAAGATGATACAGTCTTTATAATCTGATATTCAAAGTCACAATTTTGGGGTCAACTTTATCAACCAAGCCTAACATTAAAGTCTACCAGTAGAAAGGCCGGACATAAACTGAATAAATACAAATATTAGCAGAGTTCAGCACTCCTACCTCACACAAGGGCTTTTTGGGGGAGTGGGGAGAAGAAAGAAGTATCACCAAGAATGTCTACAGGAGTTAAAAATGACAATGCAGATCCAGTTTTAATACAAGATGAGTCCCTTATAATCAAATAATACTGCAAGTGAGAGATTAGTTTATGAGGACTGTTTCCTTGAATAAGGAGATGGTGTTTCCAGAATGGAAATGAGAGAAGACTGTGCCCCACTGGAATTAAAGTGGTGCCAGCAGGCAGATTATTTGGTCCTGACAACGTTCAGATCACTCAAACAGCCTAGAAATGTGAGCATTGCCAGTAGGTGGGGGAGAGGAAACATCTGATGCTGCTGATGCCTTCCAGGCAATCACACTTACAGTGTCCAGATCCTTCTGATTTCAGTCTAACATACATCAGAAATAGATCTGGGTTACTTTGAAGACCCATTTCCTGTCTTCCTTGCAACTTTTCAACTCCCTTGCAACTTCTTCCAGCATGTACATGAGTCCCGGCAATTGACCAGAATTAACTGGCAATAGAACAGATGGAACTGTGAATGGGCTAGAGAAAAAATTAAGCGTACAAAGCACCAGACTGGACAGGAGAGTTTCCACGGCATATAATTTTTAATTTTTACTTGCAGAAATAGTTCCAGTTAGTTTTCTTTTCTTTCTTTGGCAGGGAGAAGCCAGCATACAAAACACCAACCCCCCTCCCCAGATTAGTTTCAGAAACAGCAACTGCCTTAAAATATAAAATTCCCTGTCCAGGGAACCAATTGAATGGGGATACAGCCAGGTTTGGCACAATTGTGTGGCTCCCGTTATGACTGCCTCTCATCACTAGGGGACTCATCTCACACCAAAACCAGAACTATACCAACTAGTAATGTTCCAAATCTTGCTTCCTCCTTGCATTTTTGCAATTTGTCCTCCCCCCCATGGCAAAGAGGAGAAAAAAAGATGGCCCACTGCTCCATGAGCATAAAGCAGGCAGCACACCTCCAGACAATTTCGTGTGCATTTCAAAATGGATTCAGAAAGCTTGAGAAGGCTGGTCATATAGAAGTGCTCTCCATTTCTTTTCCTGGGAAGCCTGGGAAAAGGGAGGTAATCCTCTACCGAGAAACTTAAAACCATGATTCCCCCTGCCATTCAACGCGGCAGAAGCGAAACCACCTTCTGCCTTCTATTCCCGCCATCATCCAAACCCTCAAGAAGCCCAGGAACACCTCACCTTGAAAATGGCGTATCCAGCCGCTGTCTCAAATAAAACCAGCATCGCGGCGGCGAGACGAGACCGGAGCGCCCAGCAGCTCCCCGGGAAAAGGCGAACACGCAGCAAAAGAGCGCGAGCGAAGAACAGACGCACGCGCTCCAGGAATACGCACCACGCGGGCGGAAAGCGCTGCTCAACTGACCCGGAAGTGCTTTTGATGGCCTGCCGGGAAGAAGGAAGGTGGGAGAGGGCGGGGAGGGGGGCTGAACGCTGATTTCTGATTTCATCCCTTATAAATCTCCCTGGGCGGTCTGAGTGGGGATCCTTATGAATCATAGGCTTGTCTAGTTTTCAGTAAAGTCTGTTGGGGAGATTCTTCATCTGCGTTTTGTATATTTTAAACCTATATTCAGAATAAATGATCTCAACCGCCAGTTGACCAGTATTCAACTTCAGTGTTCGCGTCTTAGCAAAACGTATTATATTTTTCAGTAGGAGCGAAGCTTGGCTGTTACAACTATGATTCACTGCAGCATTTAAATGTATCGATCATTTTTATGATCAACAATGTGTTCGCATGGCTTTCGTACCGAAAAGCCTCTTAGGGAAGATATGCTTAGAGACATGTCTTGAACAAATTAACATAATAACACAATAAACATGCATCCTCGCTGTTGAGTTAATTAACTTGGAATAAGGGCTCTCTGAACTTGCTATCCAAAATCCATTGTGCAAATTAGAATATCAAAATAGACATGTCACAACAGCTATATTAGACCCTAAAATGCTGTAGAACTTAGATTTTGTTACAACAGGCTAACATGAACAGGCTAACAGTATATATTTAAGCATTCTGGGTCTTGTTATTGGCCTATCACCTGCTACTCTTTTGATGAGTGATTCTCAATGTGTGGGCTGCACCAGGGGTAATCCATCCATATAAATTAATTTGGCAGTCACAGGGTGTATGTGTGATAAAACATGCATTGCAATGCTGCAATGCAACCTCTACCTTTTCATGCTTGCATGCAATGTTGTGATGCAAGTATGAAAAGTTGTGTATCATTTTGGCATGCAGTAACTGTAGCTCACTGCAGTTGCCTAGGAGCCATGTTAAGCAAGGTGCCAAATTTCAAGAAAAAAAAAATACAAATATCTGTATCTGCTCTTGGGGTTTGGGGATAGGGCCATCAACTGCAAGATTTAGCTTTGATGTCAGATACTGGCAGGTAGTCTTCAGCTTCCACTGGGTCCACACGCCACTGGCTGCCTGTGGAGGCTCACCAAAAGATCCAAAATAGCCTCTCCATGTTCACAGGCTAGAGCATGTTCTCTGTCTTAGCCTCACTTCCCCACATGTTCCTCCCCAGAGTCAGCTGGTGTACAGTACAAGAATCAATCAGTGGCTGGCAACTGGTTTACCGAAGCATTTCAATAATACAAGTATACATGTGGGTTCTAAAGTTCAGAAAAAGGGATATTGAACATGTCTTAAGTAAAGTTTCTAAGTTTATAAATGAAAACTGGAAAGCAATCCCCTTCCCCCTGCCACAATTGGGAATATGGTGGGAAAAAGAAGGGAATATGGTAATGTATGTCTAAAAATGGTATTTCATTGGACTGGAGATATACTTGCCCCTAGGTCCTTAATATTGAGAGTTTTCTACTGAAGAACATTCTTGGCAGCAGGTTTGTGCTAAGAGTTGTTATTATCATGGGGTACATAACATAATTTGAATTGTAAATAAATATTTAATATTGGATTAAATTTTTTGGTACAAAATTCAGTTTAAAAAGATTTTTAAATGTGACAGAATTGAGTTAAAGGGTTTCTTCCAAACTAATTCAACTTCCAATGTTTCTTTATTTAGAGTATGTAAATCCAGTAAATGTTTACAAGAGGATTATTTATTTCTTTGGCACTGAACAGAAAGAAAGCCATGCAAAAAACAGGATATATTGTTGAATGATTTGAAGCAATTATAATCAAGACACAAGCAGAATCTGATGTTGCATATAGAACAAAATTGTCACTGTAGTCAGCCAGAACTTCTGGAAGTAAATGAGACTTTTAAGATGAATTTTGCTAAGCAGAAATATATTGAGATCTGGTTACAAACCAGATAAATTGTTGGTCTATCAAATGAGAAAAGAACAAGAGAAAAGAATTCTCAGTTCAGTTTCAGACAGTAAGAAGTATGTTTCAACCTTGGAAGAGATGATGAATCAATTTGTTAAATACTATTCTCAGCTGCATGGAAAACTGACATCAAGTTCAGAGAAGATTTTAGAGTATTTGGATACAACACAGATTATCAAATTTACAGCAAAAGGAATTACATAACAAACCCGTTATAGAAAATGTCACAAAAGAAGCAATACAGAAGTAAAACTGATTAAATCTCCAGGACCAGTTTTTTTCTCTGCAATATACTTGATGATGATAAAACTATTAACACAAGTAATAAATGAGTTACAATGTCAAGTACTTCCTCCTTCATGGCAGGAAGCTTTCATATCTTTGATTTATACAGAAGGGAACAACCTAATTCTTCCAGGGTCTTACAAGACTATCTCCTTATTGAATACAGGCTATAAGCTTTTTACATCCATTCTTGCAAAGAGGTTAAATAAACTTTAGCCAACATAATTCATCCTGGAATTTTTTCCTATTTTTTCCAAAGACATACATAATGGATAATATCAGATATATTGACACTGATAATATTAATCAGAAAAATAAGAAAAGATTTATGATTTTTCTTGATGTGGAGCAAGTTTTGGATAATTTGGAACGGCCTTTTATGTTCATCACCTTCAAAATGAATTGGGTTCAGTTTTATTTCATGGATACAGAGTATTTACAATGAACTGTAATTATAATATATAATATAATTATAATAATATAATATAAGTTGATAATTATAAATGGATTTCTATCACAAAAATAAATGTCTACAAAAGGGATAAGACAAGGTTGCCCCCTCTTTCCTTCTCTGATTTTATTGGCATTAGAAATACTAGCAAGGAGCATATAGCAAAAGAGTAATATCTCAGGAATCAAACTGGCAAATCAAAAGCATAAAATTATATGCTGCTGATGTTGTACTTAACTTTTCCAAAGGGTTCCTTAGAATCAACAATGAAACACATAGAACAGTACAGTTTGGTATCAGGATAATGGAGTAACAGTTTACATGAAATCTATCTGAAGAGGAAAACAGCACTTGAAGCAAACAACAGGATTTAATATCAGCGTTAAACTGATCACGTTTGAGAGAATTTACTTAATTAGAAACAATAAAGACTTATTCAACCTGAAAAAAAAAATCTTGTCTAGGAAGAATATCAGCTATAAAAATAAATACCTTACCAAGAATCAGCATTTTGTTTTAAATAGGAAGTTTTTTAAAAAGCCATTGAATGAATGGCAAAGACAAATAAGTAATTTAATTTGGTCAAATAAAAGCCCAGGAATCACTCAGGATTCTACAAAATGCAAAGTGAGTGGACTGACTGTACCAAATGTTAAGCTATACTACTGAGCTAGCTGTTTAGTCAGGATCACAAACTGAATTATATCACAGTTTACTTTTATGGAAGGGACAGGACTCTTAGAAGGCTTGCATAAATATCTACAGTACAAACAGAAGTGCTCACTATATAAGAGATCATTCAATTATAAGTAGGATAAAAGCAAATAAAAATAAGTATTCCCAGAATTATCACCTCTTGCTTCAATATTAAATATTTATTTTCATGAAGGCAAATATGCTAAAAATATTGTTCAGTGGAGAGATACACTGATACGCTGCATATACCCTAACCTTTAATAAACAAAGATGACATATTTCAAGATTCTCTCCTTGGAATGGTTTTAATACCTCCAAATAAGTAATATAGTTTAAAAACAAAGAAGCATACTTAGAATTTGATTGAATATGACATGCTTGTAACACAAAGCTTAGAACATCTGTTAGGGCACATATATAAGTTGCTACTGAAATATGATTCAGAAACTGAACAAGTCAAAGGATGGATATAGAATTTAAATAGGACAGTTGATATACAACAATCAAAATATCAGTGGAAGACAAATGAAATTCACCATGAAAATTACACTTAAAGAAAATTGATTTGTTTTTTATTGGTATATTACTCCAGTGCTGATTGCCAAAATGGATGATACATATTCAAAAAACTGCTTCAAATGTAATAATCAGGTTGGAACATTCTTTCATATTTATTTATCAAATTTATACAGCCACCCATCTCATTACCATGACTTTGGGTGGCATACAATAAAACCAATATATGGACATTATCATCACATATTTGGTGGTAATATCACAAAGCTCAGAAATTCTGAAAGATGATTCATCATAGGAGGAAATATATTTTTAATATTCACTTTCCATTCTGCCAGATGTTTTTCTATTAAATATTAACAGCCTTAAATTCCCATAAAGTATACTGAGTTGGCTGATATACATAAAGTATACATAATAACAGCTGCTAGGATGATTTATGTCTCCCATTGGAAATTACATTCAATTCCTTCATTGGAAGACAGACAGATTAAGCTTTGGAAGTGTGCGACAATGTCAAAAATAGCTTCACATTTAAAAAATAAGCCTGATACTAATTTTAATTTGGAAACTGTTTATGGAATATAACTTTGCACAGATTTCTGCCATACCTGAAGTTTGGATTTCTACATAAGATTTTAAAACACTACATTCTCTCTGGCCATAAAGGAACTGCTTCAGAATTCTTGCTAGTTCTTACTGCGTTCTTACTATCTTGACTGACAGTTCTTACCATTTTGGCAGTTCTTGTCAACTTTTAAATCTGATTTTAACATTAGTTCTTAAAGTGTCAAACTGATCAATTATTTAATATTTGTTCCAGTTCAATGTTCCTTGTAAGAATGGTGTTTCCCCTTTTTTTAAATACATGTAATTTTATATTTTATTCATTGTCAATGTATTTTTTAATTTTTTTTCTTCTTCTATTTTTTCTTTTTTCCTTACAATAGAAGTTTTTTTTCCCCCCCAAAAATGATGGAAATAGACAGCATTTGAAAATAGACAGGCTAGATCAAGCATATGCCCTTTCTATCTAAATGATGGCCCACAAGGTACATCTTGGAAGCCCATTGAGAGCTTCCTCCTATCCCATTGTTTCTCCTGTGTGCTTAATACATAGAGGAAGAACTTTAGCAAATAATGTGAACTTCCATGCTTTTAAAGATGTTGGTCTCTGCATTTTCTGATTTTTTTTTCTGTTGTGCACAACTGCAGAAATTTTGAGAACACTCACAAACGGTCATTTGTCTCACTCCCACCTTTGCTGCTGCACTTCAGCTCCCCAAAAATATTAGCTTGACCATTAGGATTTTAGAAAGACCAACCATGTAGCATTCAGAGACCAAGCTTTCGTGTTCTCAGGTGTAAGTTGGGGTGGGGGGAGAGAAGAAAGTAGGGTGTGACTTTAAAGCTTGAAATCTGCAGTTCTTGTTGTGACACCTACATGAAGATGCAGTTCAGCATGTCAGCCAGGCATCTTTTTTCCCTAGGTTGAGTGGCCACATATCCTCCATAGTAATATATGTCATCTGCTTGAAAGTCTAGTCCCAAATAACAAGGGAGAAGGGGACTCTAGTTGTTGCTTAACAGCATCTGCCTGTACCAAACTGAGCAGGCATGCAAGCTGTCATAACTTTACCTGCAAGATGAGACAAGATGCATTCCTATATAAATATTTCTGAGTTTGCACATTAATATATGCAAACAACATGCCATTCATATGTTTTGCAACTCGTTTTCTTTGGCAACGAGCACTCTTATCTGCTGCCGTCCAACCATGTGGATTGCAAACTCGACATCATCACCCCTATAATGTGACGTGGTTATACTTGAAATGTAGGTAGACGGCCCCTCATCGAAAACTGCATAGCTTCACCTCTCTCTACCCAGGCACAAGATGGGGGGAGGGGTAATCAATGGCTGCTCTGTTTCAGCGAAGTTGGAAAATACGCCGCTTTCCAGGTCTTATGAAACGACAGCTTCCAACCTCGCTGCTAGTTAGGAAGGGTAGCTTCGCAACCTCGGGGAAGGCCGATGAACGATGCAACGGGGAAAGGCTACACGTCGCAACCGCCCTCCGCTCCTAGGAGGCCTTGGGCAAAGCCCCCTAGACTTAGAAGCTAAGTTGCGGATGTCAAGAGAGCCGCACGCGGGCGGCGCGCTGCGAAGCGTGGGGCGCGAGCGGTTCCAGAATCTGCGCGGGGCCCTCCCCCCAGTCCCTCGGCGGGGG